CCTGCTTCTGCTCAGATGTCCCATCGTTATCTTGCCCAGACGTCCCATCTCTTCTTTGGGAACAGCCCCCTTCAGATTAGCTGGGAGGGCAGGTCCTAGGCTGGTACCACTTTTGGCGCCTTCACCAAGTCGAACCAGATGTGACGTAGGTTCTGGCCCCTTAGACCTGAGCTGTGACCTGCTGGCCTTTATGCCAAGCAAGCTCATATTATAGGGTTGGAAAAAAGGAAAGATTGCTGCCAGTTTGCCTGTTTCAGTGACGCTCTGTGCTCTGTTGGCCCCTGCCTTTCTTGCTGGTCTTTCCGTCAACACCTGCTGTGAGTGAGACCTGTTTTCTGTTTGCGTTCAGGGTGTTCCTTCCTTCTCGGTGTTTGGTGAAGGGTGCGTGTTATAAAAGTTGTACCTGTTTTGTACAGATTAAATCTCTGTAAGTTCACATGAGTAAGAATTCCCTTCCTGGGGCAAGGAACCTGTAGATGGGGTTTGAAGGGTCAGGGAGAGCTGGAGTGAAGGAATCGAACCCCAGGCTGCTTCAGAGAATATATATGTAGGTGTGGGGCTTAAGAGGGGGGGAGCCCTAAAGCTGGAGCATTGGTGCCAAACACTCACGTGCAAAAGATAGCTATGTCATGCCAAGTATTGGTACTGCACTCTGAACTTCATTTATTAGAGTGGAATTAATGTGCCAATTAATTTCCAAAGGTTACAAAAGCGATATGGCACAGTGATGTGCCTTTAAATAGGCAAGAGAGGTATTTCTGGTGGTGCTTTAGATCAGCAGAAGCAGTATCGGCAAAGGCTGGAAGTTGGAGCTTCTCAGCCTCAGGCTAGAAGGACCTGATTTTTCACAGTCGCTGTTATTGGAGCAACTTAGCCCGGGCTGGGGTGAACCTCTCAGGCACAGAGTTGGCACTGCTGTAAAAGAGCTGCCCAGGATCTGTAGGCTTCATGTGGGAGTTACTAGTTGACAGTCTTCAACCCATCTCATGGGTTGTAACAAAAAGTTCTCTTTTTGCTTAATACTGCATGTAAAAAAAAAAAAAAAAAAACCCAAAAAAAACCAACCCACAAGCAGAGTAAACATTCTAGCAACATGATAAAGGTGCAGCCCTGCCTTGAGCTGCTCTTCGGTGTTTGTTTTGGATAGGGAGCACACGATGTGAGGGAAACGTGCAATTGCACACCTCCGAGGCATTCCTTGGTACGTCTGTGTGCGATTTGATATAAGCCACTGTTCTGTGGTCAGGAGGTCCTTTTTGCTGGCGTTTTGTGAGGTGGTTTTTTTTTGGTTGGGACGGGTTGGAGGTTTTTGATTTGTTAACATTTTGGGAACAGATCTCTGTTAGCATTTAGACAGAAGAGTAGTACTGGGAGAGCCTGGGAGTTCAGGAGGTAAAGCTGATGGCTTCAGGAGGCAGGTTCCTGGAACCAGCACAGATTGTGCAGCTCTCTGGCTGAACGTCCTGGAAGGGCTGTGTGCGCCTCTCGACGCAGGGCAGTTTCTGGTGATTCAGGCTGACAGGTTGCTTTTGCTAACCCCAGCCAGGATTCGGGATCAGTTATAAGACCTCCCGAGAGCTGGGACAGAGGAAGTATTGTAGAGAACTTTCTTGCCAGAGCTGGATGGTTTCAAAGATCATACAAGATGCGTGTATACAGTTCCTGGAATGCCAAGCCCCAAGAAGGTATGTTCTTGTAGTTCACATGGGGTTTTGCCATGATGTTTGTTTGTCGTTTTTTCTTTCAACTCATGTCATTTGAGAGTCACTTGAATAAATGCTCTGCAAAATAAACATCAGGCATCCCTCTGACACCTCTTGTGTGGGGCTTGCTTTGGCAGCATCCGATCTCTCGATGGGGTCTTGTTCAGTGTCGGATTAAGCAAGCAAGCCACGGGGGCACAGCGTGTTAAGTGTTAATTCTGCCTGGATCAGAGTCCAGAATCCCTATGGCTGTTAAACGAACTCGTGTGTGTGTCTGTGCATGG